CTAAGTGCAACTTGTGTTCACATTAGGGGGCAGGGAGAAGGTACATGGGGAATGAATGATAATTAAGGAGCAAGGAATGTTAACACTTGTTGAAACTTTTGAGCAAAATGCAAGATGAGTTAACCAAAGATTATGAAGTCTACCACTTGTTGAAAATTTACAAGTTTGGTATAGCCGAGATAACACTGAAAGGCGTTTCCAAGATATGATCATCCGAGATGGCCCACTAGCTTGTTAAGAGCTGAGAAGGTTAGCAAGTACAGAAATGAAGACCTTAAAGAACTAGGGACTGAAAGCAAGAACGTCGGACTGATCTACTTCAACGGACGACGATGGTTCAGCCTCGGCAGTCAATTGGAGGAGCTTCTCTACCGTTACTTCGGCATCAATTTCGAGAAGGAAGCAAACTACTCGGCATCGGCGGCAGGTTGTGTCTCACCCCAAAAAGACAGTTGGAAAGAACTTCTCAACAGCCTTCTCAGCCACGAGCTCAGCATCAATCTCCTGAAGAGTTTGATCAAAGCTCTTCTCGGCAATTGGCACCTCGGAGTTTTGAAAGCAAGAATTTAAAGCAAAAATCTGGGAAAAGACACAGAAAACAGAAACAAGAATGTAATTCGTAAAACAAAAATGGTGATGAAGCTATCAAGAAATCAAGACAAAAATGTTATACAGGTGTGTCAAGCCAAGAACAGCGGCAGAAATCAAATATGTGAAACAGTGTATATTCAAGAAGATGATGATTTGGAAACAACGGGTAAAACAACAATGGTGGATTAACAATAAAGCAGAGCTTCTTGGAAAGCAACAAGAAATAAAACCAGGAGGAGATGTGGCTTACCAGAAAGAGGAAAGCCAGAATGAGAATTGCCGAAGTTTGACAATGGACGCGAAAATGACAGAATGGCGTAAGCTTCACCAGAGGAGAGAAACGAAGACAGTTGCAGAAGCTTAAAAGCTTAGAACAATGATGGATTCAAGCAAAAGAGCTAGAAAGAGAAAAAGGCAGAGGATTGAATGAAAAATCAGAAGTCAAGAAGATGACAAAGTTCAAAGAATAAAGCCAAGTACACAGGCACTAAGTAAGTATGTGAAGAACAAGAAAGTAATGAACCAAAAAAAAAAGAAGGTTTGATGACTTCAATGAATTATTGAACGTTAGTGTAATTTGTGAGATTTGTGTTATTCAATGTAATTTTTTTTTGGTTGCTATAATGCTAGAAATATTAATTATTGTATCAACTAACACATTAATTAAGATATAAGATATACATGTGGGTTCCACCACTTAACATAGAAGTACCTAATATTATATGCCGTTGGTGTGTTAGTTGGTACACTAATTAACGTTCCTAACATTATCTCACCTTGTTTGGTTTAAAAAAATTGAACCCACTTTTTAAAAAATTAAAATTTTTATTTAAATGTTTTTTAAATAATATTTTTTAATATTTTAATTTTTTAGATACACCTAACCTAGATACACTTAAAAAGTGTAATATTTATGTTTTTTTATTAAAAAATTCATCAAATACAAAAAATATAAAAATTTAGTATATTTTCACATTCTTGTGTATTAATTAAAATTTTAAAATATTTTTCACAAATATTTTACTTTTAAAGTGCATCTAAGTTATGTGTATTTAGAAAGTAAAAAAATTATCTAAAATATTAAAAAATTTACTAAAAATAAAAATATGTGTAAAATAGAAAATTTAATTTAAAAAAATAGGGGGATGCACCAATAAATCCCAAATTAATAACTTATGCACTGTTTAGTCCTAAAAGTTTTCTTATAGACTGAAAGGTCCCATTACAATGTTAATAACATCAGATACAATGTTAGTAACATCAGAGTTATGTTACAAACATTAGATTTCAAACATCTAATGTTCATCAAATTTCAATAATGTTTGAAAATATATGATGAAAAACATCTAATGTTTATCAGATTTCAATAAATTTTGAAATTATAGAATGAAACATCAGATCATTTACATCATTTATATCATACTGATGTAAAAATGGGACTAAATGGAGCATAAGAAAACTTTTAGGACTAAATGGTTCAACGTTTCAAAAACTAGGACTTATGAGTAAATTTTCCAAAAAAGATAATCAAACTCAAACAAAGTTTTTTTTTTTCTCTCTCTTTTTTTTTTTTTTTTTTTTTTTTAGTTCGCCTATCCAAACACATTAAATTGACAACACTCCCTGAATCTCATTAAATATATATATTTTTTCCTTTTTTGGCATAACATTTATATAATGTTCCTGCTCAATCCCATTACATTATGAACATTGATCATTTTCTGTAAAGGCAATTACTTTCCACCTTGCAAACCCACTTATTATTATTAGTTGCAAAATAAAAATAAAAATAAAATAAAAAACATGAAATAGAACCACTATGATGATCGAAAAATGCGAACTATCATTTGAAATAAATGGCACTGACAATTTATTTGAAGATTTTCTGTTTTGTTTTTGTTTTTGTTTTGGGTTGTATTTGAAGCCAGATGAAAACTTTAATGCCAAATTCAAATCTATCTATTTTGATTGTTATTTTCAAAAAGGGTGAACTATCATTTTGTCATTTAATCCCTTGAACGTTACTTAAAATTTTAATAAAGGTTGTGTACAAGACTCCACTTAACGTGTAAAATTAGGACTTTAAAATTTAAAATTGTAAAATTAAAAGAAGAAAACAGTAGATTAGTCGAGGAACATTGGACACTCCATATAGAGCGAAAATGCACAGAACATTAATATATAATTTAGATTCATTATAAATATGATAAAAATAACTATTGATATAAATATAAGTCACACATTAATTTTTGAGTAATTTGCACTAATTTCATCTAAAATTAAAAAAAAAATATAGTAAGTTTCTACAGTTTCGGCATGCCATTATATTGGAATCCCTTAAGGTTTTAATTTAAATAACTTGTAACATATTTTTATCAATAATTCATAAGTCATATAATAGAATAATGATATCGTCATATCTTTTACACTGAAATATATATTGATTCTTGTATTTTCACACTATTTTCTTAAATTTCGATTTTTTAACCTTATTAAAAGTGAGGCTAGTGTAATTATATAAAAACTATGAGATTACTTATATTTTCTCTAAACATCAGGCGACAAAACAATTGTCTCACATTTTTTTTTTTATATAATGACATTGACATATCTTTTAATAAGATTAAAATAACCAAAATTAATGTAGATGATGAGATAACATTGAAATAAATAAATACATTTTAATAATATTTTTTTTTTCATTCAAACGATCAAAAACTATTGATAAAAAATAATCTGATTGTCATATGAATTCAAAGTTTAAAAGAAGTTAATATAATTATATCAAAAGTGTAGAATTGATTGTAATTTTCCTCAAACAAAAAGGGCAAAACCCTCTCACAACCCACAAGAAGTTGACAACAAGAGCAGACACAGACCATACACATGTTTGCAAAAGACAATGCAGCTCATGCATGACAACACTGCACAACACAAAAATGTTTGGTAAAAAAAGTTTTTTTTAACAATAATTCAATGCAACAGTAAAAATTGCACAAGATTTAAAAAGAAATAATTTATAAACATAATTTTTATTTTATATTAATAAAAATAAAAAAACTTGTGATAATAATATTTAAAAAATTACAAATCACTATAATGATATCATTATCCTTTAAATTTATTTTAAGTGTAACTCAAGTAATATCAAATTAAATATGCTATATACATTTGAAATCCAAACACTTTCTAAAATATTTTTAGGGTTAGTTACACCTTTCATCTCTATAATTTGATCTAAATTTTACTTTAATTCATATGGTTTTAAATTTAATAATTTAATTTTTATATTTTAAATTTAATTTTAATTTGGTTTTTCGATCGAAATTGAAGTTTAAAATTAACAATTTCAAGACATTTGTTAATTTTTAAGCTGTATAATAGAAAAAATTAGCATAAACTTAGACTAAAAAACTAAATTAAAATTGGATTTAGAGTGTAAATATCAAATTGTTCAAACTAAAAAAAAAATAGAAACAAGTCAAATTTAAATCAAATTATATGGGTGAAATATGTAATTGACCCCTACTTTTACTGAATACATTGTCCACATATATCTATTTGTATCATTCTTATTCATATTTTGTTTGCATTTTATTTATAGATTGTGTTACTGTTTGCCTTGAGACATTTAAAGAAATTTTAAAAGAGAAAAATTCTAAGCATATGTAAAGACTTGATAAAAACGATGTGATAATATTATTATTATAAATAAATCTATTTTTTGTAATAGTATTTTATTTGGAAGTGAAAGGTCGATAATAAGCTATATTATATATAAAAATTGAGTTTGAATTCTCTTAAGTTGGCCATCTCAACTCAAGAGAATATTTAAACTTGGTTGACTTATTTTGAGGTCGACTTCCTAATCCAAGCAGTTTATTCTTTAGTACTCTTTGAATACAATATTCATATAATAAATTAAGATGATTAGATATCAGTAGTTACATGTTTAAATCATATTTGTATTATAAAAAAATGAATGATTACTCTTGAAATTATAATTATGGTCCATTTTTTTAAAAAGCAAATGTGGTTTATATATATAACTACTAATATTTGAAATTTTTAAATTTTTGCATAAATATTCTATTAACATCACACATTAATAAATTCATTTATGCCTTTTTTTAAGAATATGAAAAAAATAATAATAATAATAATTTATTAATTTATTAACTTATTTAAATTACATTATCTCTTTATTTTTTAATATAATTTAAAAAAATTAATAAACAAACTTTTTCCCTACTTTCTAAAAAAAAGCCTTATTATTAATGTGAAACCTACGATTTGACATGGGTGCCAAATATTTTCTTGCACCAACCAAACCAATAACCCAAAAAACCAATGATAATGTGCAAGTAATCAAATCAAATGCCACCACATAAAGTGAATGCCTAACAATATAATAAAATTTTCCCAATAACCAAACATTACTTTTTTTATTTCTTTGTTTGGTTGCCATTTCATTTTCATTTAAATTTTTTTTTCATAAATATCTCAAAAACAATATTACAATTAATGTTTTCAAGAGAAAAAGTGAGAGAAAGATGGGGAGAGAGAGATAATTAATTAACGCCAAGCAGATGCGACAGTGAGTGTGCGTCCCATCCAACCAAACCAAACCCCTCCGTTTTCTTCTTTCACGGTAAAACCCGGATTGCCACGTGTCCCCGAGTTAACCCGAGCTAACAGCGAGTCCGCCACGTGTTGACTCAGCGGTTTGGGCTCGAACCCGGCCATTCCCATTCGGGCCCGCCACTTCCCAAACACCTCGCATCTTTCAACGCGGTCCCTCCCTTCACACGCAACCGAGTTCGCCATTTTCCGACTCAGTCCCTCCTCGATTCTGACTCGTTCCGAGGTCTCCCTACTCACCGTCGCGTCCACCGAGTCAAACAGAGCGCTATAGTACCCATAAACCTCCGTCACCCTCGCCACAAACGGCGCCGTATTAGAGTTCATTTCCTGCTCCACCACCGTCACCACCGCCGGAAACAGCCCCTTCACGCGGCGGAGCAACTCGTCACGGAGGTTCTCCGTGGTCACGCTCTCATCGGGTAATTTGTAAAGCCGAAAAGCTAAATTCACAGCCAAAACTTCATTGCTTTCCACGCCCAATGTTTCTAAGCTCAGATCAGTGATTTTGAGAGACAAGACATTGAAATTCAAGCAAACTCCGACTTTGTTAGCCAAAGCTATCAATCCATCTCCGACGCTTCTCAACCTCTCTTCTTCTTCGCCGCCGCCGTAAAAATCTGCAAACGTTGTGATCTTCAAAAACGGCGGCGTGCTGGTTTTTTTTGACAGCGCGTGAATCAAATGTATGTACTGGTCTCCTTGTCCGATCTCGAAATCGACGACGTGAAGCTTTTTTTCTGCGTTTGTTGTCGCTTCGAGGATTGCGAGGTTCGCCGCCATGAAACCCAGCTTGAAACACGGCGAGGCTTCGTATAACAACTGGGTTGAGGACGCGTGTTCTTTACTGTAAAGCTCCGAGACTGGTGGTGAGTACTGTAATGGGTTCAATTTCGATCGCAGAGCGAACAACATGTACGCCGACAATCTCTGCTCCGAATTTCCTCTCACGTTCGCGACTTGGTTCAGTCGGCTTAGAATCTCCGACGCAGCCTCTGTTTTTCCTTCGGAGATCGCAGATGCGACCTCGATTACGGTCTGTTTCGGACAAATAGGCGGCGCCGAAACCGAAGCCGAAGACGACGATGAAGTCGGAGAAGGCGAAATCAGGCTCTGAATGGTTTCAGACCACGCGCTGTTTGTTATTACAGACACAGTGTCGGCTTCGTCGTCGTCGTTGTCGTCTAAGAGCTGTTTTTCGAGCTCTTGAAGGCGATTCATCATCGTTTTCTCCGATTGTTCTTGCTTTATGAATCGATGGGGTAACAAACTAGGAGGAATGATGGGTTGGGGTCGGAGTTGTTGAAGAATTGAAGAAATTGAGGAAACATTTGGGGAAATTGAGGCTGAGAAATCTACCGGGGAGAGAGGAGAGATCGGAGAGGCATGTTGGTAAGTACGAGGCTTCACGTTTCGGAGATAAAGCCCCAATTGTTGTTGTTGTTGTTGATGGGATTGGAACTCGGCCAGTGATCGTTTGCCGATCAATTCGTGTCGGCGATGAAGGATCTGAGAAGCCGAGGAAATTGGGTACGAACCTTGTGGATTGTTCATACCCATAGATCTTCCGGTGTACCCATTTGCTGTGTAGAAGTCCGGAGATCCGCCGGAGAACCCAGACATTTTTTTCCGGCGAAGGGTTTCTAAGCAAATAACAAAAAATTAAAACAAGCAAAAAAAAGCTATAACAAGCTTTGATTTTTGCGCCAACAACCCATTACAGAACAAGAGTTTTAGAGAGAGAGAGAGAGAGTTGCAACTGGCTATATTGCTCTGTTGCGCTCTGGTTTTGTGGCTTTGGTTTCGTGCGTTATGTTTTTGGGTATTTGAGATAGAAAAGATGTGATGTTGTTGTAGTGGGTTTAGATCTACGTACGCATTGATCTCTCCACCGTTTGATTCTCCGAAATTTGGTCCACTGATAGAGAAAGTGTGGTGGTTCGCTACGTTACACGTACTCCTTGGAACATATCTTTGATAAACTCTTTCGAGTTAGGAATGTAGCTCTCTCCACTCCTAATCTACGCGCCTATTCAACAACCTGAGTACCCATCAATTATTTTAAAAGTTCACATTTTTTAATATATCTTACTATCATATTACCGGTACTATGGACCAGAATAAATAATTAATTTTTAAATTAAAATAATAATATAAATTTATTTAAATTAGTGAAAATCCACGTAGATTTTTCTATATAAATTATGAAAACAAAAAAAATATTAAAACCTACAATTTAAGTTTTATAATTTTATTATAATTTATGTATTAATTTCTAATTTGTCACAATTTTAATCATATAACTTTCAACTCCCTTATTAGAGTTATAAATTTGTGTGAGTTAAACTCAAGTCAAACTTGTAAATTTTTAAATATTGGGTAACATAATTTTTAATTCAGTGAGAATCTAAGTAAAATTTAAAAATTTAAATAAATTTGAATAGATTTGGACAGAGATACCAAATAACCTGAGTAATTGAAACAAAATTGTATATATAAATATATAAAATTATTTGCTAATTTAATTTTTAACAATAAAAAAGATTAATTAAAAATTTAATATTAATGAATAAAAGCAAATACACTTTTTAAAAAAGGATCATCGAATAAAAGTATCTGGATTAAAAAAAGGTAAGAAGAAAATTTAAAATGATATTTTCATCCGATTTGAAAATAATTCTAGATGACCAATAAATTATCACCAATAACCCTCATTTTTTTAAAATAAAAAAAAAATTATTTCACCAACCATCACTTTTATTAGAAAATAACATTTATTTCTATTTGTTTTAGCAAAAGTCACTTTTTAGCAATCTGAGCCAATTTTTTTTTATTTTATTTTAGTTTGTTTAATTGACAATTGAGGTTATAAAAAACAAAATTAGCAGAATCAACCATATTTTATAAGTACTAAAAAAGTCTAGATGAACAATAAGAAAATGTTTGAAACCCACCAAAAAAAAAACCCACAATTATAGCCACAATGATGTGGTGTCTTATATGTCAACTCTTGATTTGCTATACACTCAATAACATGGGACCCAACTTCCTTGCCACATCATTGTAGGTGAAATTGTAGGTATGTAGCATTATTGAAACAATAAATTATCACCTGTAACTTTAATTTTCTTTTTTTATTGTGTAAAAAATATAAATTTCACCAACTATCACTTTTAATAGAAAAAAAAAAATTTATTGCTATTTGATTTTAGCAAGTCACTTCTTAACTATTTAAGCCAAAAAAAATTATTTTTTTATTTTAATTTGTTTAATTGACAATTGAGATAAAACAAACAAAAAAAAATTAATAGAATCCATTATGTTTGGCAATTGTTAAAAAAGTCATTTATTTTCTTAATTTTTTTTGTCTTTTGTTAAAATAAAATATTTGTATTAAAAAAATTTATTGTTTAAGTCCTTGTAGTTTAGAAGGATATAAAAAAAAATTATAAAATTTAAAACAAAAAATGAAAAAAAATAAAAGTATTCTTTTAATAGCGATTAACAATTTGAATGCGTGTATTTAATAACATATTATGTTTAGACCAATAATATTATAACACATCATTATGACACATGTGAATATTGATCTCACTCTAATTATAATAACATAATTTTAAAAATAATTTAAATTTAAAATTTTATTTTATAATTTAATAAAAAGATGCATAAATTAAGGAATTAATATTAATTTTATTCTGATAAAATAATTTAAGGAAAAATCTAAATTTAAAATATTATTTTCAGAAAATAAAATTAATTTATAGACCAATCATATTCATTTTAACAAAAATTAAACAAAATCAAAAAAATAAAATAAAATAAAAATAATTGCAACTTTCAGCTTTAATAAAATGACAATGTTTTACAATTATAATAGTATATAAATTTTGTATGAGAGTTTAAAACTCTCATAATATATCTTTTTAAAAGCATTCTTTTGTAAAATATATAAATATATAAATATTCTCAGCGTCACTTTTATTGCTCCTTAATATAAAAATTATAAACTATTTATGATACGTTTAAATTTGTATTTAAAACTTATAAATCATGAGATAGATCATTATAATTTTAAATTTATATTGTGTCAATTTTAAATTTAAATTAATAGATTGCTTTTCCCATTTGAAAGTCATAAATCAAGAGATTTTAATTTTAATTTTTACTTTTTGCTTTGAATAAGAGTTAGCCAATAGAATTTTTTTTTAAATTTCTAAAAATCAAAAATTATGAAATTTAGATTGGGAACTTGGAGCTCTTAGAGGCCTTATGGGTTAAAACCCCCCCTCTTGCTTATATAATATATAGATTATGTAGTAAAAATAATTTATAATCAATTATATTTTATTTATTTTTATCAGAGCTACACATATATAAGAGAAGATTTTTATTCTGATGTTATTAATTATATGCTCTAAATTCTTAATAAAAAAATTGCATTTCATAATTTAATTGGTAAAAATTAAAGAATAAATTACAAAAATTATTTTTACTATAAAATATAGGGTGAAGCACCAATAAATCTTAAAATGTGATATTGTGAACTGTTTAGTTCCTCCTTTTTTTCTTATGAACCCTATGGTCCCATTAAAGTGCAAATTATACAAAAGGATAGTCATTTATACGTTTGAGTTTATTTTTTGATAGATAAAAGTGGATTTTTCTAAATGTGAAATTGCACATTTAAGCAATCCGCACTATAAATGTTTTGGATTTTCTTCTTTTTGGAACTAATCTCACAATACAAATAAGAACGTAATACACCAATATAATACTTCAAAAACGAAACACTCTAATAAAATATACTAAAAACCTCCATAGTGTATTTTTTTCAAACATAATAATGTAACACTCTAAACTTTTCCGAAACATAACACTCTAATGTAGCACACAAAAAATTTCTTAGTGTACTTTTTCCAAACATAACACTCCAATCAATATAATCCCAAATGTAACACTCTAATATAATACATAAAAAAACTATTTAGTATACTTTTTCTAAACGTAACACTTATAGTTTGAAATTATACATTTACCCAAAGTTTACTATGGAATTCTTATATTCCTTTTGAAATGGTTTGAAAAATCTCACACCTTTTGGAATGGTTTGAAGAATCTCACACTTTTTTAGAATGGTTTGAAAAATCTCACATACTTTTTGTGGAATGTTATATTGGAATATTGCATTTTGAAAAAAGTATACTAAGAAATTTTTTTATGTGTTATATTGGAGTGTTACATTAAAGAGTTTTTTAGAATGTTACATTAGAGTGTGTTAGGATTTTGTAATTGGCAATTTCGTTTGACAAAACTCATTTAAGTTGTAATTTGATTCACTCTTTTGTTTCAGCGAGGCTATGAGTGTTTATAAGCAAATCTTACCCGAATTATGCCTTATAGAGGAGTTTGTGATCTTAATCATTTCATGTTTTCCACTTCACTAACTATGTACGGGGATCTAGCTGGAATGCAGTCGAAGTTATTTGACTGCTTGAGCGATCATTTGTGCGCTTGAGTGAAGAAAAGGATCATTCAGTACTTTTGCAAAGCTTCTGAACTTTTAGAAAGAAAGTTTTACCGCTTAAGCAGTGAAAGTTGCGCTCAAGCAGTCAGCCTATATGTTTCGCACCGCCTTCAGTCACACTGCTCGAACAGTGAAATGTACGCTTGAGCGGTTTTTGCGATTCAGCTTACTATAAAGTGCATTTTTTGCTTGTTTTAGGATTTGAGTCGTCCAGTTTTTCAGAGAGGAAGAAAAAACAAAGTGTTTTATATTAGAGAATGCTTTATGAGTATTTCCTTGAAGATTTAAGAGTATTAATGGATTCATGAACTTTATATCAATATCATCAAGGGGTTTGTTAGTTTTCTTTTATTTACAAAAGAAATAGTTGTTCTTCAATGGATTCCGGGGAATTTGGGCCTGAACCTTTGGTTGATTTCAGAGTGGCTTATTGTCGTAGATTCGACATCAGCATTGTAGATTCAACGTTGGACAAGACAATATCGAGGTGAAGACGGTTCGGACGTTGATTTGCTAAGTAATTAAGAGTACACTTGTGTAATTTCTTTTTGTCTTCTTAGTAGATTGTTTTGTGGCTTTGGCCCGTAAATTTTTTTTTTATCACAATTAGAGGCGCTCTAATTGTGATTTTTCCATGTTAAATTATTTTGTTGATTTGTCTTTGATTGTTTAATTGAGATTATTATTTATTGCTTAAAAATTGAAATATGATTACAAATCAATATCTCAAGAATTTTCAAATTTTTCAGAGTGTTACGTTTGAGTGTTACATTAGAGTGTTACAGATTGAAATTATATATTTGTTCAAAACTTACTAAGGAGTTTTTGTACTCATTTTCAAATATTTGAAGAATCTCACATTTTTTTTGAAATGTTTAAAGGATCTCATATTTCAAATCATTCCAAATAAAAAGATTCTTATATAAAAATTCATCTCAAATTTGATTCTCATCGATTATGTGTCTTACCTTTCTAACACAAAAGAAAAAAAAGGAAGAAAACATAATAGCAAAGGGTATAACCGTAGATCCAATTTTTAAACAATATATCAAATCTATTTTTTCAAAATCAATGGGACTAATTGGCCTATAAAAAAACTCTTGAGACTAATCGAATCACTATTTCTCAATATGGGATTTATAATTAAATTTTCTTAAATATAAATACATTTCGTTTCCTAAATTTCGTAATTTTACTTTATCATATGATAGTAGTAAATTACATTTGTTAATATATTAATTTTTTCTTATTTTGTAAAACCTAAAAATTTGTCTACTCAAAATTATAAATTGTTGTATGTCATAACTCTTACATGAAAAT